ATTTTCATGGATTGAAGTGTGGTGTGGTGAAGTGGTTGTGTGAAATGTTGGTTGTGATGCCCTAAGAGTTTTTTGTGATCATTCAAAATATTTCTTTAGTTATCCATATAGAGTACTGTAGCAATTTAATTTCTTAATATTATGTTATCTGAGAGATGGGGAAGAGGGGCAAAGCAGGGGGGCGTACCTGGTTCCTTATTTATATATATATATATATATATATATATATATATATATATATATATATATATATATATATATATATATATATATATATATATATATATATTATATATATATATATATATATTATATATACAGTACTGTATTGCATATATAGAACATGCCCACTTTACAGTATCAATATGAAGTAAAAAAAAAAACAAAAAATGTAAATATATTTATTTAATATAGTACTTATAATTAATCTTTTTTTAAGTAATGCACCCTGTATTAAACATGATTATATTTCATGACAAATAAATTAATATAATATGATGTCACTTAAGCTATAAGCACAGTACATAGTCTACAAAACATACTGCATAATTACTCAAAAGTCACATATTGCTGGCCTTCAAAAATATAAATATATATATATATATATATATATATATATATATATATATATATATATATATATATATATATATATATATATGTCGTACCTAGTAGCCAGAACGCACTTCTCAGCCTACTATGCAAGGCCCGATTTGCCTAATAAGCCAAGTTTTCCTGAATTAATGTTTTTTCTCTAATTTTTTTCTTATGAAATGATAAAGCTACGCATTTCATTATGTATCAGGTCAATTTTTTTTTACTGGAGTTAACAGTAACGTAGATATATGACCGAACCTAACCAACCCTACCTAACCTAACCTAACCTATCTCTATAGGTTAGGTTAGGTTAGGTAGCCGAAAAAGTTAGGTTAGGTTAGGTTAGGTAGGTTAGGTAGTCGAAAAACAATTAATTCATGAAAACTTGGCTTATTAGGCAAATCGGGCCTTGCATAGTAGGCTGAGAAGTGCGTTCTGGCTACTAGGTACGACATATATATATATATATATATATATATATATATATATATATATATGTTTCATTGAATATGACCGCATATTCTGTATTTATTATTTTCTGGTTTAGGGCTTCTATCCCTCTAACTATTTTCTTAGCATCAGGGCTTAATTGAAATAGGAGTTCTCCAAAACTCATTTTCGTACTTTTAAGGTGAAGAAAAGAAGTGATTTACTATAGAGTGTATTACACTTATTTGTATAATTTGCACGACGTTTCGAACCTCCATGGTTCATTCTCAAGTGAACAGATCTTACAATACTAGTTGATTTTATACCCGCATTAGGTCAGGTGATAATACAATGAAGGTGAAAACATGGGGGGATACATAAGGGATAAACATAGGGGCTGCAGAAGGCTTATTGGCCCATACGAGGCATCTCCTATCTAAACACAAAGATTAATCCAGTGTAATTGGCCTGTTATGTTGGACATTGTCTTCTGTGTTGGCATCGATATGTTCTTGTCTTGTCCTTACTCTCATGGTGGGTAGAGTAAATAGTTCCGTGATTTGAGTGTTCATGGTAGGTCGCTCTATTCTTATGTGAATTGCCTCAAGAATTTGTAATCTTCTTGAATCTTGGGTTTTGTCTATTATGCAAGTATTCTTGTTCAACATTTCTCTTGTTAGAGTAATGTCATGGGCTTGTCTCATGTGATTCCTAGGGGCACCAGATTGAAGATGGCATGTCAAACGCCTCGTCAGCTTGGTCGACGTCATACCTATGTACTTACATTGAAGGTTACATCCTTCGTGGGGGCAAGTGTACATGTATACAACGCTTGACTGCTGTAGAGGGTTCTCCGTCGGCTTCGGGCTATTTTTGATAAGGAGTTCGGAAGTCTTCTTGGTTTTGTAGAATATTATCAGGTTTATGTTTTGGTTAGGAGTAGTGCTTTTTACTCCTTTACGGATTATTTCTTTCATTATTCTTTCCTCTTTTTATATGTTGTACACTCTATAGTAAATCACTTCTTTTCTTCACCTTAAAAGTACGAAAATGAGTTTTGGAGAACTCCTATTTCAATTAAGCCCTGATGCTAAGAAAATAGTTAGAGGGATAGAAGCCCTAAACCAGAAAATAATAAATACAGAATATGCGGTCATATTCAATGAAACATGTTTGAAAGAAAACCTGCTGCCAGTATACACCAATATTATTTTTATATATATATATATATATATATATATATATATATATATATATATATATATATATATATATATATATGTCGTACCTAGTAGCCAGAACCCACTTATCAGCCTACTATATATGCATATTATATATATATATATATATATATATATATATATATATATATATATATATATATATATATATATATATATATATATATATATATATATAATATGCATATATATATGCATACTCCAGATGTGCAGGCCTATCAATTACAGTACACTACTGTCTATAATTAGTCTGTTCATTGTGTGATACCAGAAGATGGTGTTGTGAATTGTGTGCACACATAGAACAATATAAGCAGCACAAATAGCAATCAAAAGTATGTAGCTAGAAATGTAGTTAACTGTCTACGTGCAGTCATCTACAGTACATGAGCTCCACAAGTGGTCAAAAGACAATATTACAGTACCTGAATTTACCTAAGGGCCACATCTCACCTTTGGCCTCTAGCAGGACAGGAAGCCAGTCAAAGCCTTGTCAAAGGTCTCCCATTTGTCCTGCTTTTCGTTACTGAAAACTACAGGACCTTGTACACATAGGGCATGAAAATATACATCATAACTAGTATTAGTCTCCGTGGTGTAGTGGCAAGACACTCGCCTGGCGTTCCGCGAGTGCTTAGTCATGGGTTCGTATCCTGGCCGGGGAGGATTTACTGGGCGCAAATCCTTGATTGTAGCCTCTGTTTAACTCAACAGTAAAAATGGGTACTTGGTTGTAACAACGATTCTTCGTGGCGGGGATCGTATTCCAGGGACCTGCCCGAAACGCTACGCGTACTAGTGGCTGTACAAGAATGTAACAACTCTTATATATATCTAAAAAAAAAAAAAGTATATCAACAACCATGCAGCAGATTGATAAAGAAAAGATTGATAAAAAGACCCACCAGTCATCGACAGTTGCTCAACAAGTATATGACCTGAAGTATAAGTCATCCCAGAATCATATCAACTCTTATACCGGGACTAACTACAATACAAACCACACATGATATGGCAAGTCTCACTGAGGCATTTAAAATGCTGAATAAATTGGAAGACATTAATCAAGACCACATTTTTAATAGGTCCAATGTAACACACACACAACGGGCAACAACTTCAGGCTCAACAAGCTACAATGTAACTCACACACAAGGGGCAACAACTTCAGGCTCAACAAGCTACAATGTAACTCACACACAAGGGGCAACAACTTCAGGCTCAACAAGCTACAATGTAACTCACATACAAGGGGCAACAACTTCAGGCTCAACAAGCTACAATGTAACTCACACACAAGGGGCAACAACTTCAGGCTCAACAAGCTACAATGTAACTCACACACAAGGGGCAACAACTTCAGGCTCAACAAGCTACAATGTAACTCACACACAAGGGGCAACAACTTCAGGCTCAACAAGCTACAATGTAACTCACATACAAGGGGCAACAACTTCAGGCTCAACAAGCTACAATGTAACTCACATACAAGGGGCAACAACTTCAGGCTCAACAAGCTACAATGTAACTCACATACAAGGGGCAACAACTTCAGGCTCAACAAGCTACAATGTAACTCACATACAAGGGGCAACAACTTCAGGCTCAACAAGCTACAATGTAACTCACATACAAGGGGCAACAACTTCAGGCTCAACAAGCTACAATGTAACTCACATACAAGGGGCAACAACTTCAGGCTCAACAAGCCACAACGTTGGACAAATGCTTTTCCACCCATAGGGTAATGAACTCATGTACAATATAAAGTAGTCACCTACGTGTCAAAGCTACAAATGCCAAGACAGTATTCCAGTTCAGATTCAGTTAGAAAAAATTCTGAGGGATAACGAAGAATAGTAGTAGCGTAGTCGAGTCACAGCCGAAAGATTCCAGGTTCAACTCCTGTGTCAGGACAGAAGCGTTTGGGCAACATTTCCTTTTGACCAATGCCTCTGTTCACCTAGCAGTATATAAGTACTGGACCCCGGAATTAAGCAACTGTTGTGGGTTGTATCCTGAAAAGATCAGTAGTTGGCCTAGGGAATTCTGGACAAGCCTCTCAGGCTTCTTGTATCTGACTATAACAAACCAAAACAAGGTCACTGGCCTTCTGTTCCTGTAAAGGTCACTGGCCTCGGTGGCTTTCAGGTAAATATGTATTTGAATTGTGTCTATAATTAATTCTTATATGTTATTGGAACAAGAGTGAGCCTAAGTAATTTAATCCACTCATTAGAATAACCAGACAGATGGACAATAGAAGACTAAACAATCAACAATACTGCATATACTTTTTAATAAACTACAGTTGTAACAATAATTCCAGAATCAGGATACTGTGAACACAAGCTGTGGAGATAGGCTACCTAAGTGGCAGCATTATTGCTTATTTTTACTAGCTTAGGTGCAGAGCACTCTGATGCCACCCTAGTCAACATGTGGCGTTGCATAGTATATGTTAAAGCTAGCTACAGGCACTTAATACAATCAATGTTTGTAAATATACAGGGTATAAGTTCAGTGTACTAGCCTCCACTAAGAAACTCTGTGTATACTTGATGGTTATCTTGAGGTTATAATGAGATGATTTTGGGGCTTTTAGTGTCCCCGTGGCCCGGTCCTCGACCAGGCCTCCACCCCCAGGAAGCAGCCTGTGACAGCTGACTAACACCCAGGTACCTATTTTACTGCTAGGTAACAGGGGCATAGGGTGAAAGAAACTTTGCCCATTGTTTCTCGCCGGCGCCCGGGATCAACCCCGGGACCACAGGATCACAAGTCCAGCGTGCTGTCTGCTCGGCCGACCGGCTCCCTATACTGTGAGCATATTTATTTTTGTATTTATTTACAAGAAGGCGCAATGGGTTATATTAAGTAAACATTTTAATTATTAAGAGGCACATTTATACAAAAGCCACTAATTAACATGCATAGCAAGGCTGCAGAGACATTGCTGAGGTAGACAGCTGCACACCTCATAAGGCCACAGCCCGAGGTAACTATAGAGTTGTGCAGGACCACGATTGGCTGCTGGAGGGCCAGCACTGCTTATGAGTAAGCCAATCTGCTTCTGCCAGTTGGTTGCTGGCAATGTGGTGGGTGGAAGTGTCAGCTCTGCCATCATATGGCTTCAGTATTTTCTCAAATACAGTACTGAATGATAATGCTCTTGTGATTTCATTGCTTAGGGGGTAGTTATTATTACTTTTGTCTGGGACACAACACAAGCAGGGGATGTAATTATTACCTTGGTCTGAGACATGACAAGTAACAGCAGGGGATGTAATTATTACCTTGGTCTGAGACATGACAAGTAACAGCAGGGGATGTAATTATTACCTTGGTCTGAGACATGACAAGTAACAGCAGGGGATGTAATTATTACCGTGGTCTGAGACATGACAAGTAACAGCAGGGGATGTAATTATTACCGTGGTCTGAGACATGACAAGTAACAGCAGGGGATGTAATTATTACCGTGGTCTGAGACATGACAAGTAACAGCAGGGGATGTAATTATTACCGTGGTCTGAGACATGACAAGTAACAGCAGGGGATGTAATTATTACCTTGGTCTGAGACATGACAAGTAACAGCAGGGGATGTAATTATTACCTTGGTCTGAAACATGACAAGTAACAGCAGGGGCTGTAATTATTACCGTGGTCTGAGACATGACAAGTAACAGCAGGGGATGTAATTATTAACGTGGTCTGAGACATGACAAGTAACAGCAGGGGATGTAATTATTACCGTGGTCTGAGACATGACAAGTAACAGCAGGGGATGTAATTATTACCGTGGTCTGAGACATGACAAGTAACAGCAGGGGATGTAATTATTACCTTGGTCTGAGACATGACAAGTAACAGCAGGGGATGTAATTATTACCTTGGTCTGAGACATGACAAGTAACAGCAGTGGTTGTGAGGTTTACCTTCCACTGTAACACAGCGTAAGCTTTCCAGTCACAGCTTCATAAGCCACAACCCAACACTGTTATCAGTCAAATCATTCTGTCAAATCATCATCCAAGCATATCACATGATGCACATTTCATGCAGTTTAATTGTCTTAGGTGCACAGTATTATGAACAGTTTGCATGGTCTAACAATTATGTTTATAAACATTGTACTTTACAATATACAGTATAACAAAAAAGAAATTTCTAATATATAAACATTTAATATTTAAGTAGAGCATCTTGAGAAGCACCTGCTCAACCCTATCCAAGTATCAGGATGGCCAGGCACACAAAACTGCCATCATCACAATCTCTCGATAATAATAGAACATTTTGTAAAAAGCTTTTGATCTATATAATGTAAAGCATTGTATCCCTGCATGTAGTGTGCTTGTATCCCAGCATGCGGTGTGCTTGTATCCTAGCATCTCATGGATGTCTTAACCCCTGCACTGCGCACCTTTTTTAAAATGACATTCCTGTGATGCGCCGAAAATAATTTCTTCTAAAACAGTATTTTTTTTCTTTTGGTATTGTTAATTAGCACCCAGGAAGCATGAAAATCTAAATAAAAAGTTTCTACCTCTTGTAGTTTAGCTGTAGTGGTCTGGAGAAGTTGCATTTTATTTTTTTTTAAATTAGGAGAGTTGCCTAAAGGGAATGTTGATTTATTGACAATGTTTCTCACTTTATTTATTTAGTTTTTCACTCTAACAAGTTGTATCTATGTGTCAAAGATGGTGTTCATTATGTATAACTTTGAAAATATACATATAAATATACATACTGTACTGTATATACAAATATATTTATTCATACTAATAATGGCTGCCCTACATGTTCCTAAAGTCATGGCCTAAGGAACATTTCGGCCTCAGTAACCCAGGCCATGGAAGAAAAGTGAGGGACTCGGGATGTTTTTTCAAGATGAGGGATGGTTACTGGAGGCCCGAGGAAGCAAATATGTGCCCCCTTGTATGCATAGGAGTTTCGAATCTCATGATATACTCACATAATCACATGTCGGCTGGCACACCAGCACACCCCCACCTTAATATGTTGGCTGGTGCAGTGCAAGGGTTAAAGACATGACTATCAGTTTACAAGTGGATGGTTCTGAGCTTTTGTCAAACCTTTTTGGTCTCCTTTTGGTATAATGTTGCTAAATGTAATCAATGAATGCATATGAAAGACAAATCTTGTTTATGTAAATATTATAGAAATAAACAGAAATAATCATGCTTCAGTGTATCACATAATCACTGAACTCTGGTCCCTCGATCGTCGATCATTGTCGCCTCTCAGTCAACAGCAATACTAAAGTCTGCTTTAAAGTGCTTATTACAAACATAAAGTGCTCAGATAACCTGACTATTACTGATCCTCATTGTTGCTGCAGCAATTCTGCAATACGAGAACCAGTGAGCTTCAACTCTTAAGTATTTACACGACGCATTCCTTGAAATCCTGTCACACTGGGCCACATTATTTTTATTAAAGATCTTTTGTGGAAAAATATGGTACACTACCAGCCTAAGAATTTTATTACAGTAATTGTATATATTTTTTAAATAATGTAAAGGTAGTCATATGTTATAGTCTCAGAATGTTTGGTAATATGTTTATTGTTTGTGATGTGTTTATATGTATGCATTAACACGATGTACTGAACGGGGTGAGAATAGCTTGAGCTACCTCATCCCTTTGTGTGTATTTTATCTCAATAAACTTATTTCAATTTCAATTAAATTTCAATATGTTATAGTTTATGAATATAGTACACTAGAATCTGACTGGAATGGAATGCAATGCACTCATTCTAAAGAATGTTGCAATGATAGCTTTAACTTTTGGCTGATAATCATGTTAAATGTAATTAAACTCCCTTATCCGGTGAGAGCCTCAGGAGTGTCCTGAGCCAAGTGCCTTAGGGAGATGCACCAGGGCTGTGAAACCCACCCTGGTCTACTACAAGCCATGACCAGAATCTGGCTCTCTCCGTGAAGCAATGTAAGCTTGGGGAGCTTGGGGATCAGAGATCAACCAAAAATCAATAAATATTAATTCTGCTGTAATTCAAGTCCCTTAAAGTGAGCACTTTTAGTACATAAAGACATTATTCATTAAATATGTCTTGGTATTTCTTCAAACCCTGCTCCAGAAAATTATAATAGACAAACTCTGCAGGGTCATGGAAGCCTTGTAAGAGCATAGTGTCATTAAGTTCTGCATCTAGAACTTGGTTGGCATTGACAGAGGACACGACATAACCCGATGCATCTTGTATTATAACTTGCACAGGGAAAGTGTACACATCCAGGCTCAGACTTGCAGCCAGGGACACACCAACCATTGATGAACTCTCAGCATAATTCTGTAAGTAACACCCACATTAACATATTCTATATTCAAATAATTATAATCATCACAATTCCAAATGAATTCAAAACTTTAAAAATGTCCACACTAAGGCTGGAATGAGCAAATACTGTACCCCAATACCCTAATACCCAGTGCCTTTCCTGTTATCCTTGATTGTCTCTCCATCTTATGTATTATTACTTGGTGAGCAACTGTAACAACAGCCATTTGGTAGTCTAGTTGGCCTAAGGGAAACCTTATACTGTACCTGAATCCCCTATTCACCTAGTAATAAGAAGGTAACTTGGAGGTAGGCAACTGTTCTGGGTTGTAGCCTGGGAATAATAAGTCATTGTTCTAGAGGGTCTTCAATAAGCCTAACAGGCTTCCTGTCCCTTACAAATGAAATCAATATTATCTGCAAGTTCTAGATCTGAAAATGTTGCTTAGAAGATACCAGTAAATAAACAATGGCTTAAATACACTAAAAGTTGTAAGTGCTTCAAACAATGAAAGTATATGAGGAAGGCTAACCTTCAGCTCAGACACAAGTGCCCAAGACGAGACAAAATGTTCACCGAGTAAAGCTCGCACTTTGGGAGCAGCAAGTGGTCCTTCCCGCAGTGCTCTTCCCGATCCTCAACAAGACTGGTCGTCGAGTACACCCCACAATACCACCGAGTGCACTGGCCGGCTCTCACTGCTGGCTCTCACATATGCTTCAGTGAAGTTGTGGTAATCTACCTATAAAATAATTTAACAACTCATTAACAAGACCACTTCTAAGAGCATAGAAATGTTTTATACGAAAGTTAAAGATCAATAAAAACAATCTTGTTTCATCAGCCTAAGCTCCTTACACTCCTTACATGGGAACCGGTTGGCCGAGCGGACAGCACACTGGACTTGTGATCCTGTGGTCCCGGGTTCGATCCCGGGCGCCGGCAAGAAACAATGGGCAGAGTTTCTTTCACCCTATGCCCCTGTTACCTAGCAGTAAAATAGGTACCTGGGTGTTAACCAGCTGTCACAGGCTGCTTCCTGGGGGTGGAGGCCTGGTCGAGGACCGGGCCGCGGGGACACTAAAAAGCCCCGAAATCATCTCAAGATAACCTCAAGATAACACAGAGTCCACCTCTGTCATTGATGCAACACACAGTATTACTAAGTCACTCATAACACGTCCATTATGGGTAGCATAGACAGCACAAGTAACACATGACCAAGAGCCAGCCATGTCCTCACTTGACAGTTACTCATAATCTACACAATCAAATTACCTTCATAAATTTGTAGAGTTCTTTTTCCAGCATTGTGAGAGCTTCTTGTGCATTTATCTCCTGCATCCAGGTGATTGAGTCTGGAACTACAGCATCACCTGAAGTAATACTCATCTCTTCCATGTGGGTGATCGTCACCTCCATGTCTTCCTCTTCACGAGGACCAATCAGCCACTCCAAGTCTGTAAGTAAACTTTAGTAATGTATTCATTAACCTGGCTTGCTTTGACTAGTGTTATTTGAAACAATGTACAGTGCAACCTCTATGAAATGAATTGTATGGGGCATAACCAAATATTTCAATGGGTATTTTGCTTTATCAGATATTTTGTTCAATACAGTACCCTCTCAGACTATTTTATAGATTTTAATTTTGGGAAACATTTTTTGGATACAAATCTTGTATTTTTATTATGCATTATAATAATGCAGCCACTTTATATTTTTTTTATATACAAAATATTTTATTCAAAACTAGCTTCTTAGTTAAGTGGCTGCTTGTTTAGCTTGGGGCAGATACAGTGGTCCAGCAGGGGCAGATACAGTGGTCCAGCAGGGGCAGATACAGTGGTCCAGCAGGGGCAGATACAGTGGTCCAGCAGGGGCAGATACAGTGGTCCAGCAGAGGCAGATACAGTGGTCCAGCAGGGGCAGATACAGTGGTCCAGCAGAGGCAGATACAGTGGTCCAGCAGGGGCAGATACAGTGGTCCAGCAGGGGCAGATACAGAGGTCCGGCAGGGGCAGATACAGTGGTCTAGCAGGGACAGATACAGTGGTCCAGCAGGGACAGATACAGTGGTCCAGCAGGGGCAGATACAGTGGTCCAGCAGAGGCAGACACAGTGGTCCAGCAGAGGCAGATACAGAGGTCCGGCAGGGGCAGATACAGTGGTCCAGCAGGGACAGATACAGTGGTCCAGCAGGGACAGATACAGTGGTCCAGCAGGGGCAGATACAGTGGTCCAGCAGAGGCAGACACAGTGGTCCAGCAGGGGCAGATACAGAGGTCCGGCAAGGGCATATACAGTGGTCTAGCAGGGACAGATACAGTGGTCCAGCAGGGACAGATACAGTGGTCCAGCAGGGGCAGATACAGTGGTCCAGCAGGGGCAGATACAGTGGTCCAGCAGAGGCAGACACAGTGGTCCAGCAGGGGCAGATACAGTGGTCCAGCAGGGGCAGATACAGTGGTCCAGCAGGGGCAGATACAGAGGTCCGGCAGGGGCAGATACAGTGGTCCAGCAGGGGCAGATACAGTGGTCCAGCAGGGACAGATACAGTGGTCCAGCAGGGACAGATACAGTGGTCCAGCAGGGACAGATACAGTGGTCCAGCAGGGGCAGATACAGTGGTCCAGCAGGGGCAGATACAGTGGTCCAGCAGGGGCAGATACAGTGGTCCAGCAGGGACAGATACAGTGGTCCAGCAGGGACAGACACAGTGGTCCAGCAGGGGCAGATACAGTGGTCCAGCAGGGGCAGATACAGTGGTCCAGCAGGGACAGACACAGTGGTCCAGCAGGGGCAGATACAGTGGTCCGGCAGGGACAGATACAGAGGTCCGGCATGGACAGATACAGAGGTCCGGCAGGGGCAGATACAGTGGTCCAGCAGGGGCAGACACAGTGGTCCAGCAGGGGCAGACACAGTGGTCCAGCAGGGGCAGACACAGTGGTCCAGCAGGGGCAGATACAGTGGTCCAGCAGGGGCAGACACAGTGGTCCAGCAGGGGCAGATACAGTGGTCCAGCAGGGGCAGATACAGTGGTCCAGCAGGGGCAGACACAGTAGTCCAGCAGGGGCAGACACAGTGGTCCAGCAGGGGCAGACACAGTGGTCCAGCAGGGGCAGACACAGTGGTCCAGCAGGGGCAGACACAGTGGTCCAGCAGGGGCAGATACAGTGGTCCAGCAGGGGCAGACACAGTGGTCCAGCAGGGGCAGATACAGTGGTCCAGCAGGGGCAGATACAGTGGTCCAGCAGGGGCAGACACAGTGGTCCAGCAGGGGCAGATACAGTGGTCCAGCAGGGGCAGATACAGTGGTCCAGCAGGGACAGATACAGTGGTCCAGCAGAGGCAGACACAGTGGTCCAGCAGGGGCAGATACAGTGGTCCAGCAGGGGCAGACACAGTGGTCCAGCAGGGGCAGATACAGTGGTCCAGCAGGGGCAGATACAGTGGTCCAGCAGGGGCAGACACAGTAGCTGTGCACCACAATGCAAGTTCTGAGGAGCTACTGAAGAGCCTCACAACAAACATCGTAAGTTTTTATTCCCATTTAGATGCAATGAAGAATACGGCAGAAAAAGAAGTGCTACAACTGAGGGATTGGTGGTCCAGTTGGCACAGCTTGAAACCTTAGCATTGAATGGTTATCTTGAGGTTATCTTGAGATGATTTCGGGGCTTTTTAGTGTCCCCGTGGCCTGGTCCTCGACCAGGTCTCCACCCCTAGGAAGCAGCCCGTGACAGCTGACTAACACCCAGGTACCTATTTTACTGCTAGGTAACAGGGGCATAGGGTGAAAGAAACTCTGCCCATTGTTTCTCGCCGGTGCCTGGGATCGACCCCGGGACCACAGGATCACAAGTCCAGCGTGCTGTCCGCTCGGCCGACCGGCTCCGACAATGCAACAAAACCATTTTCTGGGAGAGCTCCTTGTGACTCCCTGAAACTACAATGCTGTTATAGTACCGAACTATTAGGTGCCATCAATTGCTATGATGCTCTGACGGCACCTAATAGTTTGGCACTATATCAGCATTGTAATTTCAAGGAGCCACAAGAGGTTTCCCCAGAAACACTTGTGTTTCACTGGAGAGTGAAAGTTGCACTCATCTGGCTGGTGTAATATCATGGCTTTATGGGAGCAGTCCATTGCCTGAAGATGTAAGAAATTGAATGCTAAACCCTTTCATTATTTTGTAAAAACAGACACAAGGGAATAAAGTTGAAGACTTTAAAAAGTTTGTCTGTTATGACAATTATGTGCTTTATGCAGTCCTCCAAGATGGAGAAGTTCTTTTACAAACAAATGATCACACTGGATAAAAAGAGCCAAGCCAGTAAGAGGGACTCCTTAGGATAAAGCAATTCAATTGATTAAAAGTTAAATAAGTTAATTGAATTATGGTGTTTTTTCATTTCCTTGAGGGTGAAATGAGATACAATAAATCAATATTAAAAAAAGTATCAAGTGGCAGAATATAAGCAAAAAACCACCACCAGTACTCACCAACATTGAGGGGTCTGTGTTTTGGTACGTGCATGGAGAACAGCTTGACATTCAGGTCTGTGGTATTGATGATAAGTCTTCCAATAAAGGCTGCTGGAGTGAACCAGAGTGGTAGTCGTGGGGGAGTGTTGAGCTGGTATTCAGCATGGAGTCTAGAAACACACCAAGAATTCATTATAATTAAATTTTGTCAGATGATATGACAAAATATTTCCTTGTAATGAGATAACCCACAAACTCTATTATAAAGTTGGCAAAACCGGAGAGAGCAATAAAGAGACTTGTAATGACTTCTCACTCACCTGAACCATATATCTAAACAGTCAATGTTTCTGGCTCTGACGACGGCAGCTGCTCCTCGAGGTCCATACCTAAACAAAGGGTTTACAAGTTATGTCAGTGAAATGCTGGCATGTTGTGGCCAAAGCAATATAATAAATGCAGGCGATGAGTCACAATAACGTGGCTAAAGTATGATGACCAGACCACACACTAGAATGTGAAGGGACGACGACGTTTCGGTCCGTCCTGGACCATTCTCAAGTCGATTGTGATGAGGAAGTAGAGACAGGCAATAAATAGGCACGAGAGATGAGGAGCAAAGTATAATATATATATATATTATACTTATACAATATAATAAATATACTCCAGATAAAGATATTCTTCTTACAGCTAACACACCGCACGTCGGTGTGTGTGTCGCCATCATGATGTCTTAGTGAACAATCTGCTCGGATAAGTTTCAACACATTCTTTTATATTGAATTTGTTTTGTGCAGTTCCCATCTAATTGTTATTATGTTTCTGTACACTTCCCATCTGTTATAATTGTTTCATGCACCTCCCTTCTATATTATTATGATTGTTTTGTGCAGTTCCCATCTAATTGTTATTATGTCAGTCCCAAGCACATTTGGGATATATGCCAGACACATCTTGTAAATATCCACCAGCCTGCCTGTGTGTCAACACAACTATCCACCAGCCTGCCTGTGTGTTAACACAACTATCCACCAGCCTGCCTGTGTGTCAACACAGATATCCACCAGCCTGCCTGTGTGTCAACACAACTATCCACCAGCCTGCCTGTGTGTCAACACAACTATCCACCAGCCTGCCTGTGTGTCAACACATATATCCACCAGCCTGCCTGTGTGTCAACACAACTATCCACCAGCCTGCCTGTGTGTCAACACATATATCCACCAGCCTGCCTGTGTGTCAACACAACTATCCACCAGCCTGCCTGTGTGTCAACACAACTATCCACCAGCCTGCCTGTGTGTCAACACAGATATCCACCAGCCTGCCTGTGTGTCAACACAGATATCCACCAGCCTGCCTGTGTGTCAACACAGATATCCACCAGCCTGCCTGTGTGTCAACACAACTATCCACCAGCCTGCCTGTGTGTCAACACAACTATCCACCAGCCTGCCTGTGTGTCAACACAACTATCCACCAGCCTGCCTGTGTGTCAACACAACTATCCACCAGCCTGCCTGTGTGTCAACACAACTATCCACCAGCCTGCCTGTGTTAACACAACTATCCACCAGCCTGCCTGTGTGTTAACACAACTATCCACCAGCCTGCCTGTGTGTTAACACAACTATCCACCAGCCTGCCTGTGTGTCAACACAACTATCCACCAGCCTGCCTGTGTGTCAACACAGATATCCACCAGCCTGCCTGTGTGTCAACACAGATATCCACCAGCCTGCCTGTGTGTCAACACAGATATCCACCAGCCTGCCTGTGTGTCAACACAGATATCCACCAGCCTGCCTGTGTGTCAACACAGATATCCACCAGCCTGCCTGTGTGTCAACACAGATATCCACCAGCCTGCCTGTGTGTTAACACAACTATCCACCAGCCTGCCTGTGTGTTAACACAACTATCCACCAGCCTGCCTGTGTGTTAACACAACTATCCACCAGCCTGCCTGTGTGTTAACACAACTATCCACCAGCCTGCCTGTGTGTTAACACAACTATCCACCAGCCTGCCTGTGTGTTAACACAACTATCCACCAGCCTGCCTGTGTGTCAACACAACTATCCACCAGCCTGCCTGTGTATTAACACAACTATCCACCAGCCTGCCTGTGTGTCAACACAATTATCCACCAGCCTGCCTGTGTGTTAACACAACTATCCACCAGCCTGCCTGTGTGTCAACACATATATCCACCAGCCTGCCTGTGTGTCAACACATATATCCACCAGCCTGCCTATGTGTCAACACAGATATCCAAATATCTTTATATTAAGTAAACTTAACTTTACCAAAGTTAATAACCCTTACATGTAAATATGTGCACACTCGTCTCTCATTAGACAAGTTGGACCTTAGTTCTGCTTCCAGTCCTTTTTGTAAAGATATAGTAAAGAAAAACAGTGATACTGTATTCAGATAGGAAGCAAATCTCATACAAATGTATCGGCTTCACCATATTTTACAGATCATCACATTTTATAGAAATGTGTCCTCTACAAAGGTGTCAGAACTCATCCTAATCTTTTGGATCCCTAAATTCTCTACAAAGGCTTTAGCATACAGTTTGTCACTTAAGCTCTCTTCAAAGATGGCAGCACCATCCAATCTTCTAGATCAGCAGTCGCCACCTTTCAGAACTCATGGATCACCAAATTCATAATTTTAAATCCAACAGACCACTAATGTAAATCTCGCAGCCTCCAAACAAGACATTATAGTTATTAAAGTCAAACTATTTGATGCCAATAAATATAACAGTTAAAGACAATAAAACAGTTACGTAAAATACACAAATAAAATTGTGTTGCGGACCACCGGTTAGCGACCACTGGTCTAGATCTTCAAATCCTTTACAACTAGGGCAGCTCTGCTGAGGCCTCCTGATCCTTGAATAAAGAAGCTTGAAAGCGAACTTATTGTCACTGGACTTGCAATTTTGATAATAAAATCCTCAGGTCAGTTTTGAGGCTCTTCCTACCTGTACAGCTTGATCTGTGACCACAATACCCAGGTGATTCAAACAGCATGTTGCTGAACCCCTTACTGCTCAGAACCCACAAAACGAACATATCAGATATACTAAATAAATCGGGTATATGCATTGCAACCTGATTTATTAAGTATTTCTGAAGATGGTGCTCTAGTTTGTTATTGCGGTTACTTTTTAGCATTACTATAATGTTTCTTGCAGTTAATAGCAGTTCACTGAAAATGTTTGGATCTTGGAGGTTGGGACATGGGTGCGGGCAGCAGGGTTTTCTTCACTTACGGTTTATAAGAGTAACTTTATGCAAAGACAAAAAATTCCATCTCAAAACATACAATCATGAGAAAAAATAAATCCATTGGAGGTCAAGATAAAGCTTCACAGAGAAGTCTTTAATCTACTTTTAAGACAAAATTATTTTTTTATTTTTTTTTTATTTTGCCTTGCGCCTGGGTGTGTTGCAAGCTATAATCACAAGAGCAGCCTAGGGGTTAAACAACTAAACTAATCATTAAATATGCAAGAAATGTTGTAATTTTTCTCATTAGTGTGATACTTATAAGAGATGCCTACACAAGTTATGACAGATGCCTACACAAGTTATGACAGATGCCTACACAAGTTATGACATGCCTACATAACTTATGACAGATGCCTACACAAGTTATGACATGCCTACATAACTTATGACAGATGCCTACACAAGTTATGACATGCCTACATAACTTATGACAGATGCCTACACAAGTTATGACATGCCTACATAACTTATGACAGATGCCTACACAAGTTATGACATGCCTACATAACTTATGACAGATGCCTACACAAGTTATGACATGCCTACATAACTTATGACAGATGCCTACACAAGTTATGACATGCCTACATAACTTATGACAGATGCCTACACAAGTTATGACATGCCTACATAACTTATGACAGATGCCTACACAAGTTATGACATGCCTACATAACTTATGACAGATGCCTACACAAGTTATGACATGCCTACATAACTTATGACAGATGCCTACACAAGTTATGACATGCCTACACAAGTTATGACAGATGCCTACACAAGTTATGACAGATGCCTACACAAGTTATGACATGCCTACACAAGTTATGACAGATGCCTACACAAGTTATGACATGCCTACATAACTTATGACAGATGCCTACACAAGTTATGACAGATGCCTACACAAGTTATGACAGATGCCTACACAAGTTATGACAGATGCCTACACAAGTTATGACATGCCTACATAACTTATGACAGATGCCTACACAAGTTATGACATGCCTACATAACTTATGACAGATGCCTACACAAGTTATGACATGCCTACACAAGGTACACCAGCTGCCAACACAGGAACAATACCCACATAAAGTGTACCTGGAGAGCAGGAAGGGTTGTGGATGGAAGAGGGAGAGCAGCTGAAAAAGAAATTCTTCCACATGCCCTGATGGTGGGGGAGGAACATATCTGTAACTGAAACAAAATTACATTAATCAGGTAATCATTTTAACATATATTTCTATCAATATAACACAAAATATATACAGTACAAACTCACTTGGGCAAACTAAGTGGGTGAAACTGATACTTGCACAAGGAACAAATCCACAAGGGCCGTGACGAGGATTCGAACCTGCGTCCGAGAGTATCCCAGACACTGCCTTAATCGACTGAGCTACGACAGGGTTAAGTGTCCTACGACAGTGTCTGGGATGCTCCCAGACGCAGGTTCGAATCCTCGTCACGGCCCTTGTGGATTTGTTCATTTGATGCATCACGTTAGTGTGATCTCTGTGTGTGTTGCACAAGGAATTTTGTTCAACCCATCAAACCTCTCGCAACCCCCCTTGCCCCGAGATAAAAACAAAAACCCAGCATTGAATATAATGAAACGCCTCTTTCTGGCGGGTCCTTCGGGGCTCCGTGTTGCTAGCAACCGTCGAGGTTGTCCCGGGCCAAGCCTGAAACATAATAATGACAAAATTAAATGTGGACATAATAGGGTGAGTTAAAGGGAATAAACCATAATGGTGCGATCCTTTAACAAACCTGAACATAAACTTGTTTGGTGTGATATCTGGCAGGAGTCTCCAAACATGGCCTGGCACCTTTGCGCTAGCCTTCTCTGGCAGCAGGACAGCAAAGGCCTTACACGGTATCCATGACCATGACACTGATGCCACTTTCCACGACAGCACACCATGCAAACTCCTCCTTGACTCCTGACAAAGTACATCATCGAACTTAATGCCTGAAGGAATAATTTAGAGGTATAATGATACAAAAGAAATGCTGTGTTTGTAATGATCAGTGCAACATACCAGACAGTTTAGCATATACGTGCAACATACTACACTGTGTAGCCATATGTGCACAACATACCACACTGTGTAGCCATATATGTGCAACATACCACAGTGTGTAGTCACACCAGTGCAACATACCACACTGTGTAGCCACACCAGTGCAACATACCACACTGTGTAGCCACACCAGTGCAACATACCACACTGTGTAGCCACATCAGTGCAACATACCACACTGTGTAGCCACACCAGTGCAACATACCACACTGTGTAGCCACACCAGTGCAACATACCACACTGTGTAGCCACATCAGTGCAACATACCACAGTGTATAGCCACACCAGTGCAACATACCACACTGTGTAGCCACACCAGTGCAACATACCACACTGTGTAGCCACATCAGTGCAACATACCACAGTGTATAGCCACACCAGTGCAACATACCACACTGTGTAGCCACACCAGTGCAACATACCACACTGTGTAGCCACACCAGTGCAACATACCACACTGTGTAGCCACACCAGTGCAACATACCACACTGTGTAGCCACATCAGTGCAACATACCACACTGTGTAGCCACACCAGTGCAACATACCACACTGTGTAGCCACACCAGTGCAACATACCACACTGTGTAGCCACACCAGTGCAACATACCACACTGTGTAGCCACATCAGTGCAACATACCACACTGTGTAGCCACATCAGTGCAACATACCACACTGTGTAGCCACACCAGTGCAACATACCACACTGTGTAGCCACACCAGTGCAACATACCACACTGTGTAGCCACACCAGTGCAACATACCGCAGTGTATAGCCATATATGTGCAACATACTACACTGTGTAGCCATATATGTGCAACATACCACAGTGTGTAGCCACATCAGTGCAACATACCACAGTGTGTAGCCACACCAGTGCAACATACCACACTGTGTAGCCACACCAGTGCAACATACCGCAGTGTATAGCCATATATGTGCAACATACTACACTGTGTAGCCATATATGTGCAACATACCACACTGTGTAGCCACATCAGTGTGACATATGAGATAATACAATTTACAAAAGAGAGTTGGGTGTGAGCCTGATTACATTTTGTCAAAATTATTGTTCTCTTAAATGTAATTAAAACTACTGAACATTATTTACATTCAGTTTTCAGTTTTTGTATTTTATGCATAGAAAATAAAGTTTCTTACTTCTGAGTCAAGAAAGGTTATAAATGCTGAAGGGTTTAGGGGAGTGAAGTTCGTGTGAACCGTTACCAGATCAGCTCCTCTGGTGGTGTCTGGCATCCAGATGGGACGACTAGCATCTTCCACACTCGACCAAATGCACAGTAAACTGGTGATCGAGATACCTAAAAGAAATCATTTGTGTTAGCAATAATGTACAAAAATAAAATGTTGAATGTAATGAAAACCTTTCTCTGGTAGGCCCTCAGTAGCTCTTCAGTGCTTACACATTGGTACCGCTAAGCTAAAGGATCATGCCAGGTCTCTGGACACACACATACTTATGAAGAGCCAGGACCAGAATCTAGCTCTCTCTACAAGGTGATGGGAGCTTTGGCAATCAGAGATTTGCTCAGAACTGAGGAAAACCTACCAGAAAGTCACATAAAAAGAAAGCAATCCACTTGTTTAAAGAAAGAAATATAAAATATGGAAACAATGTTAACAATAGTTTGTCACAGGTAAACATTTCTATCCCTAACTCACCCCCATCACCGAGGCGCCGGGACCCAGACCCTTCAATAACTTCACTCAAGAGCCTTCACTACTGAACCCCAAGGCCGCAGGATCCAGGCCCACCTGGATCCTGCTGCCTTGTCTCATTACCTTATTGGTCCTAATTTCTTCAAGCATTTGCTTGTTTTGTTGCACTTATATTTACTGTTTTTCCTTTTCTTGTGTTTGGGTTGATCTCTGATCTCTACTTGCCTCAGAGAAAGTGCCAGACTCTGGTCCTAGTTCCAGATAAGCAAGGGTGAGTCTCAGAAGCCTGTGGCATCTCCTTAAGGCTGGACCAACACTTAGCTCCCAGACTACTGAAGGTCATACAAAAAATGCAGCTCAAAATTAAGGAACACTATAATTAAGACAAACTGAAAATAAATTAGCCAGATACGTTGGAAAGAAATTCTTTAATATAAGTTGTAAATACTGTACAATTCTTTAATTGAAATGGATTAGATAAAGTGAAAAAAAAAAATCAAACTAAATACAATTTTAAATCTATATATGATAAGAAAAACAAGAGAATAGAAACATTGCAAGAAACTACTAACGCTTAAAGAACCCACTTTGAATGTAACGAAACCCCATTTTCTGGGTGAGCTCTGGAGGTTCCCTGGAGCTATCGGGCTAATGTGTGCGATATATTGGGTTTTTTTCCCTTATATGCCATCAACCAGGGGTTAGGCACCCAGAAAGGTAGGCATCATAAAACAAACCCCACATGGTACAAAAATTACAAAGAAAAACTGAACAGAGAGGCAGAACTCCCTCCAATTCCAAGGAAACAAGCAAACATCACACTCCACTGTCGATTATAGCCCTTGTGGATTTGTTCATTTGATGCATCACGCTATTGTGATTTCTGTGTGTCCATATATTAGACCAGGGCATTACTATATCACACATTAGCCCAATAGCTCCAGGAAGCCGAAAAGGCTCCCCACAGAACCGCTGAATTTTGACACTACAAAGGCATCTTTTTGCATTCACAACAAAAGATTACATACCTAAAATAATAACCCACAATATTTTTCCTTTATGATGCTGTCCATTTTGGTTTACTTTCCTGGGATCTTTCTCTCTATGGTGATAATCAACATTGTCCTGGGATATAGCAGTTCTTCCACCGTCACTGTCTTGGGGTACTGCAGCTCTCCAGTCAACATTGTCCTGGGATATAGCAGTTCTTCCACCGTCACTGTCTTGGGGTACTGCAGCTCTCCGGTCAACATTGTCCTGGGATATAGCAGTTCTTCCACCGTCACTGTCTTGGGGTACTGCAGCTCTCCGGTCAACATTGTCCTGGGATATAGCAGTTCTTCCACCGTCACTGTCTTGGGGTACTGCAGCTCTCCAGTCAACATTGTCCTGGGATATAGCAGTTCTTCCACCGTCACTGTCTTGGGGTACTGCAGCTCTCCAGTCAACATTGTCCTGGGATATAGCAGTTATTCCACCGTCACTGTCTTGGGGTACTGCAGCTCTCCAATTAACATTGTCCTGGGGTATAGCAGTTCTTCCACCATCAGGCGTCACCCTGCTCCCACACTTTATAAAATCTGCACCCGATATTCGCTTCCGTAGTTTGGTCATTTTTTTATACTGATAATTCCTGCTGTATATCTGAAATTTTTAAACCACATACATTATTTTATATAATGCAAATGCTTTCATAGCTAAGCTATCTTATAATGACATAATCCGATTAAAATAACACATTAAAATAAATAGATTCTAAAATAAAACATATTGTTAATTACTGTAATGGTTGACCTTACTGTTTTTTAAATGCTCAACATTTTTTCCTATATTATTCTGATATACTTGACTTGGTGGATATGATCCCTGAGAGCATATTATGTAAGCCTCCTCAAAAAAGTTCCTACAAAACTTTGTATCCCATTACCCACAGCATCTCAAAAAGTTACCATTTTGTTGTAAAGTGCCTCATGTGATGGTACACAGGTGTGGGTGAATATAACAAATGTAAAGAAGAGATCAGAGTAAGGCATACTAGAAGATTAGTGCCAAGAGTTTATGAGCTACTGTAGGGCTAGCATTAATTCCCAACCCATTGCCTTTCATGAAAGAAATCCTGCATATATTACTTCAAGATGATGGCTCTCTCTGAGGAAGATCACCAGAGCGTCATTTAACAGGTATTCAAAGTTGAATGGCATACAGAGACCTGCTAGGTGCTGCCAAAGAGAACGGCTGCAGGTGTTGCAGTGTCGGCAGGTGAGAAGGTGCTTGGCCAAGAATCCTCCACTTAGTGAAATGCACTGAAATACCTCACTCTCTCGGAGACACTCTTATGTAAGTACCGTACTGATGTACTGTACATCAGTAAGTACTGATGACTGCTGATCATCATTATTTAAGGGCAACGACGCTCATGGGATCGAATGCACCCCAGTGTACCCGTGAAAGGTTAATAGCAAAACCTAATAGCGAAATGAATGTCGCTTATCAGCGGAAACTAACATGACTCAAATAGATGATAGAACACTAAAATAGAAGTCATCCAGCACCCTCCGGCAGAGCAGAAGCCAGCCACCCACCATGTCTGAGGGCACACCAGGACCCCACCAAGACCCACCAATTCCTAGCACCTCTCAGCCAAGCCGGCTCCGGACATCGGCAACCCACCAGGAGAACCAGACACAAAACGTTCAAAATGTATCAACTATCCTGTGACCCAAGGTGATATGTATTCACCTACCTAGTTATGCTTGCGGGGGATGAGCTATGGCTCTTTCGGCCTGTCTCTCAACTGTTAATCCATCAACTGATTTTTGTTTTGTTTTTACACATCCTCCCCCTCCCCCCCAGGAAGCAGCCCATAGCAGCTATCTAACTCCCAGGTACCTATTTACTGCTAGGTAACAGGGGAATCAGGGTGAAATAAATTCTGCTCGTTTGTTTCCACCAGCGCCGTAGATCGAACCCGGACCCGTTGGACCATGAACCGCGAGCGCTGTCCAATGAAGGGACAGGCATTAGAGGTTAGAGGCATTAAATATGCCAAAACTAGAAGACAGAAGAAAGAGAGGTGATATGATCACTACAAACAAAATAGTAACAGGCATTGATAAAATCAATAGGGAAGATTTCCTGAGACCCGGAACTTTAAGAACAAGAGGTCATAGATTTAAACTAGCAAAACACAGATGCCGAAGAAATATAAGAAAATTCCCTTTCGCAAACAGAGTGGTAAACGGTTGGAACAAGTTAGGAACAAGTAGTCTCATCCTGTAACTACACTTAGGTAATTACACTTAGGTAATTACTAAGCCACCAGCCCCCTTGTAGCCGTGAGCAAGGCGTCGTAAGCACCAACATTATAATGAGTAAATATATCATACTTATTCATTACTAACGTATTGCCAGGAAGCTTTCTGAAGCTTGTGTAGCTTGTGTTAGCTTGTGGTAATTAGACGGACCGCGTCGTAACAATCCGGACCGTTAAATAGGGGTGCCAAACGGCAGCATCAAATCCAAAATCGTGAAACAGGAGGTGATCCGTGGGCTCCCAGGTGAGGGAAGTGTGGAGACGTCCGGTCATCATCAAGGGTGAAGCAGGAGTCTCACCACAATGTGTGCTGCCACATTGCTGGTCTGGGCTGGGCTGCACCTGGCCGGATGTTGGTATTGTTATCATCTGGACCAATCCGCTCGGTTGTGGTCCTGTAGTCGTGTTCATTTTCTATCTTAGTCGGTAATGTTGGACTTTGCTATATTTATTTTATTTATTTATATATATACAAGAAAGTACATTGGGAATGGTATATGCTGAAATGTATTTAATTTATATAACATCCCACCTTACCACCAATGAGAAATCAACATAAAGATTGATTTCTCATTGCAGAGGACTTATAAAGCCTGTCTAAATCTTTTATATATCTGTTCATTATTTTATGCATAGAATGCCTCAATCTTTTCCGCTGTCAATTGACCTCAACCACTTCTTAGAGAGATGTAGCAGAACCCATGGACACCACACACGAAACATATATGTATTTGATATACCAAAAGTGTCACTCAACCAAAGCAGAAATGCCATGCAAACAAAAGTTCTTAAATTGTGTATTGAACTCTCAAATTAAATTAAATGCTGTACTTCTCTCAACCAGTTTAAAAAATGAACTTAAGAAAAAATACATAAATCATCATGTAAAAAAATATATACTCCCATTTCATCATCTTAAATAAGTCAATTTGTGAATTACTGCTGCAGAGAATAATAAATACAGTATCTGTACTGTTGTTAAACCTACAGTACTGTATCTGTAGTGTTGCTAAACCTACACTACTGTATCTGTACTGTTGCTAAACCTACAGTACTGTATCTGTAGTGTTGCTAAACCTACACTACTGTATCTGTACTGTTGCTAAACCTACAGTACTGTATCTGTAGTGTTGCTAAACCTACACTACTGTATCTGTACTGTTGCTAAACCTACAGTACTGTATCTGTAGTGTTGCTAAACCTACACTACTGTATCTGTACTGTTGCTAAACCTACAGTACTGTATCTGTAGTGTTGCTAAACCTACACTACTGTATCTGTACTGTTGCTAAACCTACAGTACTGTATCTGTAGTGTTGCTAAACCTACACTACTGTATCTGTACTGTTGCTAAACCTACAGTACTGTATCTGTAGTGTTGCTAAACCTACACTACTGTATCTGTACTGTTGCTAAACCTACAGTACTGTATCTGTAGTGTTGCTAAACCTACAGTACTGTATCTGTAGTGTTGCTAAACCTACAGTACTGTATCTGTAGTGTTGCTAAACCTACACTACTGTATCTGTAGTGTTGCTAAACCTACACTACTGTATCTATATTGCTGCTAAGCCTACAGCATTGTATCTGTAGTGCTGCTAAAGCTACACTACAGTAACGGTGATAGAGGGGTGCTAGTAACGGTGATAGAGGGGAGCTAGTAACGGTGATAGAGGGGAGCTAGTAACGGTGATAGAGGGGAGCTAGTAACGGTGATAGAGGGGAGCTAGTAACGGTGATAGAGGGGAGCTAGTAACGGTGATAGAGGGGTGCTAGTAACGGTGATAGAGGGGAGCTAGTAACGGTGATAGAGGGGTGCTAGTAACGGTGATAGAGGGGAGCTAGTAACGGTGATAGAGGGGTGCTAGTAACGGTGATAGAGGGGTGCTAGTAACGGTGTTAGAGGGGAGCTAGTAACGGTGATAGAGGGGTGCTAGTAACTGTGATAGAGGGGTGCTAGTAACGGTGATAGAGGGGTGTTAGTAATGGTGATAGAGGGGTGTTAGTAACGGTGATAGAGGGGTGTTAGTAATGGTGATAGAGGGGTGTTAGTAACGGTGATAGAGGGGTGCTAGTAACGGTGATAGAGGGGTGCTAGTAACGGTGATAGAGGGGAGCTAGTAACGGTGATAGAGGGGTGCTAGCAACGGTGATAGAGGGGAGCTAGTAACGGTGATAGAGGGGAGCTAGTAACGGAGGTAGAGGGGTGCTAGTAACGGTGGTAGAGGGGTGTTAGTAATGGTGATAGAGGGGTGTTAGTAACGGTGATAGAGGGGTGTTAGTAATGGTGGTAGAGGGGTGCTAGTAACGGTGATAGAGGGGTGCTAGTAACGGTGATAGAGGGGAGCTAGTAACGGTGATAGAGGGGTGCTAGTAACGGTGATAGAGGGGTGCTAGTAACGGTGGTAGAGGGGAGCTAGTAACGGTGATAGAGGGGAGCTAGTAACGGTGGTAGAGGGGAGCTAGTAACGGTGATAGAGGGGAGCTAGTAACTGTGATAGAGGGGTGCTAGTAACGGTGATAGAGGGGAGCTAGTAACGGTGATAGAGGGGTGCTAGTAACGGTGGTAGAGGGGAGCTAGTAACGGTGATAGAGGGGAGCTAGTAACAGTGGTAGAGGGGAGCTAGTAACGGTGATAGAGGGGAGCTAGTAACGGTGATAGAGGGGAGCTAGTAACGGTGATAGAGGGGAGCTAGTAACGGTGATAGAGGGGTGTTAGTAACGGTGATAGAGGGGTGCTAGTAACGGTGATAGAGGGGTGCTAGTAACGGTGATAGAGGGGAGCTAGTAACGGTGGTAGAGGGGTGCTAGTAACGGTGGTAGAGGGGAGCTAGTAACGGTGGTAGAGGGGAGCTAGTAACGGTGGTAGAGGGGTGCTAGTAACGGTGGTAGAGGGGAGCTAGTAACGGTGATAGAGGGGAGCTAGTAACGGTGGTAGAGGGGAGCTAGTAACGGAGGTAGAGGGGAGCTAGTAACGGAGGTAGAGGGGAGCTAGTAACGGTGGTAGAGGGGAGCTAGTAACGGTGGTAGAGGGGAGCTAGTAACGGTGGTAGAGGGGAGCTAGTAACGGTGGTAGAGGGGAGCTAGTAACGGAGGTAGAGGGGAGCTAGTAACGGTGATAGAGGAGAGCTAGTAACGGTGGTAGAGGGGAGCTAGTAACGGAGGTAGAGGGGAGCTAGTAACGGTGGTAGAGGGGAGCTAGTAACGGTGGTAGAGGGGAGCTAGTAACGGAGGAAGAGGGGAGCTAGTAACGGAGGTAGAGGGGAGCTAGTAACGGAGGTAGAGGGGAGCTAGTAACGGAGGTAGAGGGGAGCTAGTAACGGTGGTAGAGGGGAGCTAGTAACGGTGGTAGAGGGGAGCTAGTAACGGAGGTAGAGGGGAGCTAGTAACGGAGGTAGAGGGGAGCTAGTAACGGAGGTAGAGGGGAGCTAGTAACGGAGGTAGAGGGGAGCTAGTAACGGTGGTAGAGGGGAGCTAGTAACGGAGGTAGAGGGGAGCTAGTAACGGAGGTAGAGGGGAGCTAGTAACGGAGGTAGAGGGGAGCTAGTAACGGAGGTAGAGGGGAGCTAGTAACGGAGGTAAGGGTGTCCTTGTGGGAGAATTGCCGTCGTCGGGTCAGGCTATATAAGAGAGCGGAGCCCGGACTATAGCTTCAGTCTGGCGCGGGTCCGCGAGGAGAAAATCACAATGATTGTGTCGCGTGTCCGTTTGACCGCGATTGTGTTGGTTCTAGTGTTGACAGGTGCCGTCAACACTTGCCAGGGTGCTGCCAGCTTCACCCCTGCGACGGTGGAGGGCCGCCTGCTAGTGCCCGACACCGCCAGGGTGGATAATGCCCTTCTCAAGACGGTCCAAGCTGACAAATTCCTCTCTCTCTGGTTCATTTATATTCTCTCGGACGCCGTCCACACCTCCAGTGAGTACATTATACTGCCTCTCCTTCTCCAGCCTTGAGGAGAGGCTTGGCATGTGACCTGACCCCACGTCAGCTGGGGGTCAGGGCAGCTGTGGCTGGGGTTAGGGGTCAGGGCAGCTGTGGCTGGAGTCAGGGTTCAGGGCAGCTGTCGCTGGGGTCAGGGGTCAGGGTAGCTGTGGCTGGGTCAGAGCAGCTGTGGCTGGGGTTAGGGGTCAGGGCAGCTGTGGCTGGGGTCAGGGGTCAGGGCAGCTGTGGCTGGGGTCAGGGGTCAGGGCAGCTGTGGCTGGGGTCAGGGGTCAGAGCAGCTGTAGCTAGGGTCGGCAGCTGTGGCTGGGGGCTGGGGTCAGGACAGCCCTGACCCCTGACCCCATCTGTGGCTGGGGGGTCAGGGCAGCTGTGGCTGGGGGGTCAGGGCAGCTGTGGCTGGGGGTCGGGGGTCAGGGGTCAGGGCAGCTGTGGCTGGGGGTCGGGGGTCAGGGGTCAGGGCAGCTGTGGCTGGGGTCAGAGCAGCTGTGGCTGGGGTCAGGGCAGCTGTGGCTGGGGTCAGGGCAGCTGTGGCTGGGGTCAGGGCAGCTGTGGCTGGGGTCAGGGCAGCTGTGGCTGGGGTCAGGGCAGCTGTGGCTGGGGTCAGGGCAGCTGTGGCTGGGGTCAGGGCAGCTGTGGCTGGGGTCAGGGCAGCTGTGGCTGGGGTCAGGGCAGCTGTGGCTGGGGTCAGAGCAGCTGTGTCTGAGAGTCAGGTAAAGCAAGAGTGAGAGTGCGGTGAGCCAAGAGTGAGAGTGCGGTGAGCCAAGAGTGAGAGTGAACAATGTTGTCACAACACACAAGCCTCAGGCCTCTACACCCATGCAACATGGCTGCAGAGGCCTGTAGAGCCATGAAACATGACTGTAGAGGCCTGTAGACCCATAGACATGGCTGTAGAGGCATGTAGAGCCATGAAACATGGCTGTGGAGGCCTATAGAGCCATGCAACATGACTGTAGAGGCCTGTAGAGCCATGAAACATGGCTGTAGAGGCCTGTAGAGCCATGAAACATGACTGTAGAGGCCTGTAGACCCATAGACATGGCTGTAGAGGCATGTAGAGCCATGAAACATGGCTGTGGAGGCCTATAGAGCCATGCAACATGACTGTAGAGGCCTGTAGAGCCATGAAACATGGCTGTAGAGGCCTGTAGAGCCATGAAACATGACTGTAGAGGCCTGTAGACCCATAGACATGGCTGTAGAGGCATGTAGAGCCATGAAACATGGTTGTGGAGGCCTATAGAGCCATGCAACATGACTGTAGAGGCCTGTAGAGCCATGAAACATGGCTGTAGAGGCCTGTAGAGCCATGAAACATGACTGTAGAGGCCTGTAGACCCATAGACATGGCTGTAGAGGCATGTAGAGCCATGAAACATGGCTGTGGAGGCCTATAGAGCCATGCAACATGACTGTAGAGGCCTGTAGAGCCATGAAACATGGCTGTGGAGGCCTGTATAGCCATGAAACATGACTGTAGAGGCCTGTAGACCCATAGACATGGCTGTAGAGGCATGTAGAGCCATGAAACATGGCTGTGGAGGCCTATAGAGCCATGCAACATGACTGTAGAGGCCTGTAGAGTCATGAAACATGGCTGTAGAGGCCTGTAGAGCCATGAAACATGACTGTAGAGGCCTGTAGAGCCATGAAACATGGCTGTAGAGGCCTGTAGAGCCATGAAACATGGCTGTAGAGGCCTGTAGAGCCATGAAACATGGCTGTACAGGCCTGTAGAGCCATGCAACATGACTGTAGAGGCCTGTAGAGTAAAGTAGGTCATAAATGGAATGCATTAGGCTGTGATGTGGTAGAGGCAAATTCCATACACATTTTCAAATGTAGATTTGATAGAACCCAATAGGCTCAGGAATCTATACACCAGTTGAGAGCCAAGAGCCAGAGCTCAACCCCCAGCAAGCACAAGTAGGTGAGTGGACCAGGGTATAGAACCACGGCCACATTCACCAAAGACAATGATGAGGCTTCGAGCCTTTGTGTGATGTAATATTTGCAGCCCGTCCTCCAAACAAAGATCCAAAAGTGATTCCATGCACCCGCCAAACCCCCTGTTTATGAATGAAAAGCGGTTTACACACGACTCACAACTGCTGACGTTCGAACATATCCGGAACAAGTGCTTCACTGACGAATTTTGTTCGAATCACAACGCTATAAATGCTTCACCCACGTACTACAAATACAAATAATCGCCAACAGAACCTAAACACCTAACCTAACCTATGCCTATATATACTCAATATGTTAATATATTATAATATTAATTTATACTTGAGAAAATTCCCGTTTTGAATGAACAGCATGTTAAAATTTATGAATGCGTCTGTGGGGTCGACCGCTGGATGTAATGGACTTGAGTCGAGGACGGGTTGAATATTTGTGATATAAAGCTCACATCTGGCACCTCTGCTCTCACAACTCAGTGTCAGTCATATATGTCGTACCTAGTAGCCAGAACGCACTTCCCGGCCTACTATGCAAGGTCCGATTTGCCTAATAAGCCAAGTTTTCCTGTATTTTTATCAATTGTTTTTCTTGTGATATGATAAAGTATCCATTTCATTATGTATGAGTTCATTATTGTTTAATTATTGAACACCCAGGGTACGGAGCACTGAACACCCAGGGTTCGGAGGACTGAACACCCAGGGTACGGAGCACTGAACACCCAGGGTACGGAGCACTGAACACCCAGGGTACGGAGCACTGAACACCCAGGGTACGGAGCACTGAACACCCAGGGTTCGGAGGACTGAACACCCAGGGTACGGAGCACTGAACACCCAGGGTACGGAGCACTGAACACCCAGGGTACGGAGCACTGAACACCCAGGGTACGGAGCACTGAACACCCAGGGTACGGAGGACTGAACACCCAGGGTACGGAGGACTGAACACCCAGGGTACGGAGCACTGAACACCCAGGGTAAAGAGGACTGAACACCCAGGGTACGGAGGACTGAACACCCAGGGTACGGAGCACTGAACACCCAGGGTACGGAGCACTGAACACCCAGGGTACAGAGCACTGAACACCCAGGGTACAGAGGACTGAACACCCAGGGTACGGAGGACTGAACACCCAGGGTACAGAGCACTGAACACCCAGGGTACGGAGCACTGAACACCCAGGGTACGGAGCACTGAACACCCAGGGTACGGAGGACTGAACACCCAGGGTACGGAGCACTGAACACCCAGGGTACGGAGCACTGAACACCCAGGGTACGGAGCACTGAACACCCAGGGTACGGAGCACTGAACACCCAGGGTACGGAGCACTGAACACCCAGGGTACGGAGCACTGAACACCCAGGGTACGGAGCACTGAACACCCAGGGTACGGAGCACTGAACACCCAGGGTACGGAGCACTGAACACCCAGGGTACGGAGCACTGAACACCCAGGGTACGGAGGACTGAACACCCAGGGTACGGAGCACTGAACACCCAGGGTACGGAGGACTGAACACCCAGGGTACGGAGCACTGAACACCCAGGGTACGGAGGACTGAACACCCAGGGTACGGAGCACTGAACACCCAGGGTACGGAGCACTGAACACCCAGGGTACGGAGCACTGAACACCCAGGGTACGGAGCACTGAACACCCAGGGTACGGAGCACTGAACACCCAGGGTACGGAGCACTGAACACCCAGGGTACGGAGCACTGAACACCCAGGGTACGGAGCACTGAACACCCAGGGTACGGAGCACTGAACACCCAGGGTACGGAGCACTGAACACCCAGGGTACGGAGCACTGAACACCCAGGGTACGGAGCACTGAACACCCAGGGTACGGAGCACTGAACACCCAGGGTACGGAGCACTGAACACCCAGGGTACGGAGCACTGAACACCCAGGGTACGGAGCACTGAACACCCAGGGTACGGAGCACTGAACACCCAGGGTACGGAGCACTGAACACCCAGGGTACGGAGCACTGAACACCCAGGGTACGGAGCACTGAACACCCAGGGTACGGAGCACTGAACACCCAGGGTACGGAGGACTGAACACCCAGGGTACGGAGCACTGAACACCCAGGGTACGGAGCACTGAACACCCAGGGTACGGAGCACTGAACACCCAGGGTACGGAGCACTGAACACCCAGGGTACGGAGCACTGAACACCCAGGGTACGGAGCACTGAACACCCAGGGTACAGAGCACTGAACACCCAGGGTACGGAGCACTGAACACCCAGGGTACGGAGCACTGAACACCCAGGGTACGGAGCACTGAACACCCAGGGTACGGAGCACTGAACACCCAGGGTACGGAGCACTGAACACCCAGGGTACGGAGCACTGAACACCCAGGGTACGGAGCACTGAACACCCAGGGTACGGAGCACTGAACACCCAGGGTACGGAGCACTGAACACCCAGGGTACGGAGCACTGAACACCCAGGGTACGGAGCACTGAACACCCAGGGTACGGAGCACTGAACACCCAGGGATAAAAAAACATTGAACATTCCAGGTACAGAAAATTTAACACCGTGCGACCGAGAGTGGGGGAGAGTGCTGGGAACTCAGGGGGAGAGTGCTGGGGACTCAGGGGGAGAGTGGGGGAGTGCTGGGGACTCAGGGAGAGAGTGGGGGAGTGCTGGGGACTCAGGGGGAGAGTGCTGGGACTCGGGGAGAGAGTGGGGGAGTGCTGTGGACTCAGGGGGAGAGTGCTGGGACTCAGGGAGAGAGTGGGGGAGTGCTGGGGACTTAGGGGGAGAGTGGTGGGGACTCAGGGAGAGAGTGGGGGAGTGCTGGGACTCAGGGAGAGAGTGGGGGAGTGCTGGGGACTCAGGGAGAGAGTGGAGGAGTGCTGGGGACTCAGGGAGAGAGTGGAGGAGTGCTGGGGACTCAGGGAGAGAGTGGGGGAGTGCTGGGGACTCAGGGAGAGAGTGGAGGAGTGCTGGGACTCAGGGAGAGAGTGGGGGAGTGCT